GGGGGGGAGGGGGGGGGAGGGGGGATGCCAGGCCCTTTTGTGTTCTCTTCACTTCTTACCCCATTTAATCATCTCACCCATCCCGGAGCTCCTCCCCTTCTAAAAGTTAGGGAAAGAGCTCCGGGGTGGGTGAACCAATTGCATGTTCAATTCTTACACCATCCCATCCTTTTGCCCGAGATAATCATCTTTCCCATCCCCGAGCACCTCCCCTAACTTTTAGAAGGGAAAGGAAACCGTCCCTGCGTCCTAACGCGGTCTCTATGCACTGTGCTGCCTGGTGTTAGAGATGCAGAGCACAAAAGGGTGCTGGCACCTCAAAGCTACGTTTTCACCATAGAACCACTGTCCACTAGTTCCAGAAACTGACGGTTTCTGACGAGAAATTCGATTATAGGATATACGCTGTGCCCTATTTTGATACGGCGCGTTCATTGACACACTTTTTAGTAGCGGAAGTGTTCATTGCAGAAGAAAAGTTTAAGGTTCACAGAGCACTTGTGTTTTCCACTAATGGCGCGTAGCAGGATCGTTAAGACGGTCGGATCGATTTTCGCAGCAGTTTCTTCTCCTCGGTAGTGGTTCAGAGTGGAATCTATGCCGTTAGTTGTCGGAAAAATGTCGGAATTTATCAAAACCTCTTCATAAAGAATATTTTTGGGAAGTTTCTGCTGTGTGCCAAAGGTTATTTCGAGGTTACGATTTGGTCTGTCCAACTAGACGTCAGGAGTGCTGAGAATTGTTCCCAATTTCATCTCTGCCTTCGATTGGTTACTATTCTCCCGACTGCAATCTGACTAGTGCGTATGGTGAACCTTGTAGCGGTAAACCTGCGTTGCAAAATATTATCGTTGCCGCTTTTAGGGAATCGCTAGGGTAACTTGAACTGGAGTTCTTTGGGAAAACCTGGTGGCGCCGCCGCTGCGTACCGACAGCGTCTACCACCTATCATTCTTACACAAGGAAGTTCATTAATATCGGTTTCTTTATCACAATAATTTGTTACCACATTCGTGGCGCACTCCGTATGGGAGACGGGCAGTAAGAACGGTCTTGGTAATCGATCCGCCGCACGCGGCCGTCGCGGACCATTTCCCTCGTTATAACAATTCTAGCGTTCTTCATACAGCTCAATCGCTATGCGATTATTACCTGTAGCGTGATTCTACACTTCTTTTGTTCTTGTATTTCATACTTGCTACTGCATCCTGCTACATTCGACACGACTTTCACCGCGCGCGACCAATTCATTCCTACTGCTCCACACCCCACTCCGTATCTATGCCGTTTTCGAAACGCCGTTACGGGCGGCTTTGCGGGTCACTTATCACCACCCGTTAGGAAATTTGCACACTCTAGAAATAACGGACGGATTTTTGACGCTCTAGAATGGTCCAGCAATTGATTATTATCGAATAACATGCCCATATTTCTCTTACATCGTTCGGTGAAAAGGCTGGCTGATCTGGTATGGTAAGCGCCAGTTGGGTCATGCGGTCATATCTACTGAAGTCTATCCAATGTTGCAGAGAAAAAGACTGTGCCTCCCAACTATGCACCATAATAAATCTTCAACCACTAGTGCAGTAGTATTTAATTTCATCGAAAGACTAATTTTCTCGAATCATCTTTGATGTTCCCGTAATCTCTACCATACGTTAGCTTTTACTCGATTTATGGGAATACAGGACCTGGGAGTTTTTTGACATAATCGGAACCCTCGGATATAGGTGCGAAGCGACTTATTAAAAGACGATGTCTATGGTTAATCATTATTCAGGAGACTAGCGGCTTTGCACTGATCAGAAATCGCATTGTGCGTGAGGCGTTGGGACAATTCATCTACAGGCACGCCAGCGACAACGTGGTTCCATAGGACCTCACCACACCACATACCCTAGGCAATACCATAGCATACAATAGGCACACGAGCACAGTTTCGGTTGCCACATGAGTGTAGCAAGAGTGGCCACCAAGTTCGAACGCATGGTCTGGTGCAATAGTGGCCACCTCCAGCGACCACCTCACCTTCGCACGGTCTTCCCCATAGTCCTTTTCCGATACTTCTGAGTACAGGGATTATACTCAAATAAGGTTCTGCCGTGGAATGGTATAAGTTGTCTGTGAAGTTCTGAGCCAATAACATTTCATTCCATCGTCAGCGTAAGAACCGGATTCCCGTAGCGAATTCTCGTTCCCGTCTGCAACAAGGCCACATCTTAGGTCGCATTCAAACTACTACCCGTGGTAGAGCGATCCATATCGCGACGCCCATCAGTTGTACAAAATCTGTAACTATTTCGATACGAACTTATTACTCCTTGTTCGTGAGTATCACAATGTTAAATTCGTGTTTGTTTTTCTTCATGTGATCAAGGAGGTTCTCAAGAGGCTTTCTCTTCTCAAAAGAATGCCAAATGCATTTTAGGATGAGGTCCCTCGGAATATTAATTCTGGGAAGTTTCGCCATCTTCTCGTTTGCATCGGACAGTGAAGAGGTGGATATAGAAGAATTGCCAAGAGGGGTTCCTTACCATAGTTAGTTCTCTTAAATTTTCCTCTAATAGGAAAACTCTCTCGTTCGTCTCCAATAAGTTCTATGAGACGCTGTTTTTTTGGTATTATATTGAAATAATAGTGATTTGTTCAGAAGCAGCGCTCTATAAGAGGTCGTTTGAGTTTATGTGCCTTGACGGGTCAAAGAGCATTCCTTATGATAGTGTTAATGATGACTATTGCGATTGCGATGATGGAAGTGATGAACCGGGTAGAATCTTTGATCTATTTTTTTTTGCAAGAGCGTTATCCGAAGCTTTTACCGCTTATTTAGGGACGTCTGCTTGCCCCGATGCAAAATTTCACTGCGTGAACAAAGGCCACATAGCCAAGGATATCCCTTCCTCTCGCGTCGATGATACGATCTGCGGCATGTTTCTAATCACTTCAGCTTCTTATATTCGATAAATTTGCAAAGAATTACTTTATTTAATAAGAGGTTTTCTAGATTGCTGCGATGGTAGCGACGAATTGTACAGTAAAGTTGAATGCCCCAATATCTGTGAGGAGTTGGGCCGAAAAACTCGAGAAGAGAGTAAAAAGCAAGCGGAAATTGCAAGGAAAGGATTTGCTGCCAGGAAAGTTTTGGCTATGGAAGGACAGAAGCTGAGGGTTTGTCTTTATTAAAGTTGTGAAACATTATAAATTGGGCTTTAAGAAAGTTCATTGATCTACTAGATTTGAAGAAGAAAGGTAATGTATTGGGGCACCACTTAAATTTACGTGGTTCAGGAATCGAATTCTAGATCGGAACCCGTACATGCCAACCTTGCCTCCTGTTCCTCCTGCGTTGAACAATAGCTTCTGACCCTTCTGAAAAGGCGAAAACCGGAATATCGGCCAGCTCTCACAGGTCTTTTCACAGGGCATTTTAAATCCAAACGTTACCACGGCTGTTGATCAAGTACCGCTTGTTGAAAAGGGGGCAGTCTGTACGAGAAGCTTCGTTTTTCTCTCCTGCTAGCGCCAGTAGTCTGTGACCAATCCAGCCCTTCCCTGGAATGATAATGCTAACTCTTCTTACACGTAGACGAAAGCCTTCGGTGATACAATGGATGCCATGGAACATCTAAAATCCCCAGATGGCTCTTCTTTTTTCGTCATGTCATCAACTCTCGTGGTCCAGCGAAGCGAGAATTGTGACCAAGGAGTTGGGATCGAATTCTTAAAAAGTAGAAGAGAACGTTAGGGTGGGAAAACCGCGGATCGTGAAGAAGTAATATAAAAGGAAGTTTACGTGTAAATTGCTGCCAGTGAGAGAACACAGACCCGATTTTGAGAGATTTCCATGTTCGTTTTTGTCTCGCTTGTCATGTGTTGGTCATTCACAGGATGAAAAGGTTCAAGCGGCAGCGCCCCTCAAAGAAGAAAGAGAGAAACTGCTTCCAACACGGGAAGAGTTGCTGAAGAAGAAGAATACGGCTGTTGAACGGGAGTCAGCTTTGAAAGACAAGCACAAAGAAGCATGGGAAGGTAAGTTTAGCGTCTTGGCTGGGCTGAATTCCACTATTCAATTATAGGTTTTCCGCAAAACTTTCTTCGTGGGCGCAGCTATAAACATGTTGTGAATAGTAGAGCTTAAAATTATGCCGTCTTTTGACTTTAAACGCTCCATCCCTTGCCACTACGTTGGCGATGAATCCCTCCTACTTTCACAATACATTTTCATCGTTCATCCATTTACGTTTTTTTCAACTCAGTTAACTGCGGTCGGATCGGTGATATGGCGGACTTTCCTCCTTTCATTACGTTGTTCCCTTCATTCGATAACCTGTTATTCTCCTTTTCCTCCTATATCGTCCTCATTTCTCCCTTCTTAGCGAACTTAATACTTTTGTGGCGCGGAGTCTTGTATACTCACGAAATCCTGGAACAATACACAAATAATGAAGTAACGTTGGTTGTTCATTAGCGCTTGAACCTAACTCGTAGCGTCACAGCGTAACAAATTGTCAACTGAAGCCAGACACATACAGCCAGTACGATACGTAAACGAGAAACACATCGATGACATCAAAGTTTTTCCTTTTTTCAGTCATACTTTGTTAGTTCTTCATATCTCACTTTTAGCATCGAAACAAGCAAAGAGGAAAGACAAATCAAACTTGGCGTTCAATGAGATCGACCTCAATAAAGATCAAAAGTTAGTTGTTTTTATTAGCTGTCTCTGGATAATCGAGTTTAGTTTTCTCGCTTTCAGGATAACCCTGGACGAGCTCAAAAAACTTCCCTACCTTGATACGGATAACGACGGTGTTGTTTCTGATGAGGAAGCGAAGGTACAGACATTTTTATTTTCTGTTGCCAAGATTTTGGAGGATAGTATTTTTGCAGTCGTACGCTACAGTACTGTTAGGCAATGTGTTATACTATTACAACTCTTCAGATTCGTAACTATTTATCATAATAATCCTACTTTATATAATTTGCTAAGTGTGTCTGTTGGTGTATCGGTGTGTGTTTGACCGGAAATTCATAACTCCTGTTCCTGGGGACATAGAGGGTTCGAATTTGGTAAAAGTACGGGGACAAGATGGGAATACTCATGGCAGATAGCAGGACCAGACCCCGCCTACAGGGGGCGGGGCATGCGTGACGGAAATTTTGAACCGCAAATTCGTAACTGCAGTTTACGTGGAGCTAGAGCCTTGAAACTTGGCAGATGTACAGGCAGGAAGAGAACACCCCTTGATAAGTGGCAGGATCGAACTACGTCCACAGGGGGCGAGGTGTGCGCGATAGAAATTTTAGACCGCAAATTCATAAATTCATAACTCCTGTTTACGTGGGCCTAACAGATTGAACTTTGGTAAGAGTACAAGCGACAGGATGAGAACGCTTATGGCAGGTGACAGGTCCAGACTCCGCCCACAGGGGCGGAGTTTGAGCAGAGTAAGTGTTTGAGCAGAAATTCGTATCTTCTTTTTCCGTGTACTTAAAGAGTTCAATTTTGTTAGGATTACAAGTTTTCGTATTAGTAAGTGATGTACGATGTGATGGGACCGTAGGTACTCGATTACAGAAATCAGTAACATCTGATAAGAGAAGATGAGGGGCCTAAGAGGGCAAGAGTCACCTGCCGATCAAAATCCTAACACCTTCGGTATTTACGATGCAGCTTTGAGTGGCATAGGGTAACAAAAGTGAGTGGTAAGTGCCCTGATAGAATCCTATTAGAGGCAGTACGATAAGCAGAAGAGAATTCTGTTCATTACTTGCTAATATATTACGTCCGCTACCCAACAAGTTCTGTGGCCCAATGAAGGATCCTATTGTTCGCCATCATTTGCGTCAAAGCTTAACCGACCGCCAGTTATCTGAAACTTCTAACTAATGATACCTCGGTAAAGAAAAAGGTCCATTGATCGCACGAAACATTTGTGAGTGCCGATCAAGGCTTTGGTTACCTAACAGTTGAATCCTTATTGGGTATTAACTTTAAGGAAGAGAGCAAAAGATCGGGGCTTCCAAATAATGGTGCAAGCACCAACGTACACTGAATACCATCGCACTGCCCTGTTAGTCCTCCGTTTGCCCTGTTAGTCCTCCGTCAAACTTTGCGTGCAGGAAAATATTATTCATTCCGAAGGAGTGGAGAGTTAGCGGTTACTACAACTTTGCCGAAGAAGGAGGGAAGCCCGGCGTCAGCCGGGCAGGCCGCCTGGTCTAGAATAAGAAAGAAAGCTCAAGAAGTTGTGTATTGACCTCTCAGTCAGTTCAAATCTAAGTGCATGAGTAAACTGATTTCATGCGAATTCATCGCAACGTATTTTAGCCACCGCGATTAGCGGCAGTGCTGTAAATAAACGAAAGCATCACGGTAACGTGAATCCTAGTTCCTTAATAATTGAACCATGATTTGATAACACGATAGTGGATCTCATTTTCCAGAGATGCGTTGAGTCGCTAGTGAATAGGTGGTATTTAGATTCATATGAATGTTGATGAAGCCGATGCTGAATACTTTCTGAACAATATGTACGATCTCTTGAGGCTGAAAAGAAAAAATGCCCATGATTCCCCAAGAAACAAAAGCCAAGAAGATGAGCACGATGATCTCGTTGCAGGTATTTCAGTGATGTGGTTAAGCTGGCTGGCTGAAATACTGTGATGTGTGTAAGGTCCTGTTACAGATGAGGATAAGGAAGAAACAAAAGCGGAGACATCAGCAGAGGCTGCAGCATGGACTGATGAAGAGGGTGATTACGTTATGCCTTCGTATGACGAGGAAACACAGAAAGCGATAGAAGGTAAAGTTTTGTGGCGGTTTTAGCTTTCTTGGATTTATTCAAGCTCATTAGAACCATTAAATTAGTCTTCTTTGTATTTCTGTTCTGGGTGATTCATTCAAACTACTCCGTCACCGTTACATTAAGAATCCTATGCATAACGCGCTAAGGGCTGTGTTGCTGTCATTGTGTCTCGGTGTGTGTGTGTGTGAGTGTATGTGTCGGTATGTATCCCGGTGTATGTAAGATGTATGAGGTGTGGAGTGTGCATGTGTATGTGTGTCGTGTGTTTGACCAAAATACATAGGTCCAGTTTTCTTACGATTAGATCTAAAGCATTCAAATTTGGTAGGTGCTTAGGTAGCAGGGTGAAAACATGATGCAGCTGGCAGCACTACGCTTCATCTACAGAGGGTGGGGGTGCACGAAAATTTGTGTTCCAGGGGAAATCATAGCCCCTGTTTCCGTGGAACTAGGGTGTTGCATTCGAGAGTGGTACAAGCAGTGGTGTGGCAGTGTTGGGAGATGGTACGAATGGAGTGCGTCCACAGCGGACGGGTGTGCGCGGAATTTGTTGATTTAGATCCAGAGCATTCGAAATTGGCGCCACTGATGCACAGTTAAGATCGAATAAGTGGGGAATGGACCAAGTTACTCAAACGCCCAGAACTCCAACAGGACCTCTCATGGTCGGCTGGGCGCGCGCCATGTGTATCAGTGTGTGCACCTCCGGCCATTAACGACTGTCCTCTTCAACCACAGCGCCCAAATTTGGAAAAGTGCAGGCGGTGGGTTAAAATTTGGACGCTATGGTATGTCATATTATAGGCGTAGTTCGGGATAGGTATTGCAACTGGTTTGAGGCGAGATATATTGGAGGGGTGCGAAATGCAAGGGTGAAAATGATGTTCTCGGAATTAAACTATCTCGTCTTCAGTATGTGCACTCACATTCGACTTCCATTCAGAACCGTAGTTGCGTTGCGCCACTTGTCACTACATTACCCCTGACCCGTCGCATCTCGACATATGGTCGAAAATTGAACTCAACTGAGTAAAGTTGAAAAGTTCATCTCCATGCCATATCTCCTGAGCATAACATTCTATAGTGTCCCACAAGGATTGCGAAACTGGCACTGAGCAAAACTTCAGCCTGCGACGGCACTCAAACCCGTACTTGTGCTTTCCGGGCACCGTACTCTTTATCCCTGACTCTTCCGCCGCTTGCCCTCACCTTCTTATGGCTTATACGACAACAAGTCAAGTCAAATTATAACTTGTACAGCTTACTGCTCAACGGTTCAGTGCTGATATTGGCTGGCCGGCTCATCACGTTGTACGTGTGAGTGCCGATAAACCACGGCGTATAAGCCGTTAAGAAGGCGAGGGCAGGAGTCCGGTAGTGTAAAGGATAGAGCACGGTGCCCGGAAAGCAAGGTAAGTGTTCGAGTCCAGCTCGAGGCCGAAGTTTTGCCCACAAAGCGCCATCCTTGTGAAGCTTTTGGATGAAGAACTGCGGCGGAATAGCAGCAATAAAGAAGTAATCAAGTCAAAACAACTGTTCTATGTTTTTTGTGGTCCCATTCATTTCAACATTTCTTTACACTAGTTCTCATGAATTTAGAAGCCGAAGCTGCAAGGAAAGAATATGACGAGTTGGATGTAAAAATCACTACTTTGGACAGTCAAATACAGTAAGGAATTCTAGATGCCTCTGTCCTTTACAGTTGTTGATGAAATGGAATAGATGATTTCAGAGAAGCTGAGTGGTTCATTAACCAAGACTTCGGAAGTGATCTTGCGTGGGCAACACTCAAAGGACAGTGTTATGAACTGAATGACAAGCAGTACACATACAAATACTGTCCATTTGATAAGACCGTGCAAAAGGACAGCAATGGCTATGGCGAAACCGCGCTAGGGTATGTATTAACTCGTTTATCTTGTGGCTGGTTAAACGTGCTTGAGTGTGTAGACCACAAACATAAAATAAAATCATCAGTAGACAGAATATACTTTCTTGCATGCAGTATATGTACCTCGGCTCGTTCACGAGGTTGATTGATAAGTATAAGTACAACTCTTCTGTTATGTTTCTCAAATGGCAGATCGTGACCAAAATTCTTCCTTGGCCTTGCACTAGTACGCCAGGGTAGTAGTGATAAGGAAAATTGCAAATTCTGTTGGTATATGGTGACTGTAAAGGGATGGTCATACAAGCTCCATTGAGCGGGTGAGATTCATCATAACTCAGTCACTTCCTTTTGCTCTGTACAAGACAACTATGAGTAGTACTTCGCTACACTTATACATAAACTTGGACACTGATATATGTTGCATTGTCATGGGACTGTGAAGGGCTTGCATTGTAACTTTAGGAACTGGAAGGATTGGTCTGGCGAACCTGAGAATAAATACTCCAAACAGGCTTACACCGGAGGACAGCAATGCTGGAATGGCCCTCAACGATTCACGCAGGTTTGTGTTCACAGAGTTGGAAAAAAATTTTCTTTTTGGATTAAAAACAAACTTCTTCATCGGCAACGAATTTCATTGAATAGTATAACTGCCATTGTTATGAACGACTTCTTGTTAGCATCGGGCAACTTGTATATACTATTTTTTTGAGTAACTTCATCTTCTGATGTGAAAAGTTACTGTTTGGTATCTCATGCATCTCTGTATTTTTGGCTGGCAAAAAAAAAAATTTGTGTGGAGAAAAACAAATGATAGTCGGAGAATGTATAATAATTGCACGCATTACGACTGATACAGGAAGATTTCCCAATTCCGCTGTTTTTTCTTGTAGTCTGGCATTATTACAATGTTCTTTCTGTCTCATATGAGCGGCCTAAGATGAACAGAAAAATTGTACATCCACTAGGATATATATTTATATTGAGAGATGAAAGAGCGGAGCATGCGCCCGCCCCCGCCAAACAAGCATGTGGTTGTGTGCAGCATTTGCAATTCGCTGTTACAGAAACGGACAGAACGTTTAATAGCACTAATAAATTTGTATTTTTTTCTGATTCTTCTTCGTGTTTTTAGGTGACAATTCAATGCGGCGAGACTTCGGAACTGATCGAAGTAACCGAGCCATCGAAATGCGAATATCGCTTTCTATTCCGCACACCGGCTGCATGCACAGATCCTGACCATGAAGAACAGCCACACATGGAACTATGAAGCGACTTCTTTTCCGTTTCGGTCATAAGGTTGTCGTTTCATCTTATGAACTTTTCATTTTTGATGAAAAGAGCATAATGATTGTTGAAGAGTTCACTTAGCCCAGTAAGTTTCATGTTGTTATGAACGGTAACCTTTTTACATCTGAAGGTGTATTAAGAGTTTATCTATGAAATTTCTATCAAGTCTGTTATTGTTATGTTTGAATGATGGGTAGATTTTGCTAAGATACAAGTACTTGACGTTTATTGCAAGCAAATTCGATCTTATGTTTCATTGTGCTTACGAATTACATGGATAGCATTTCATTGTACCATCCTACTCCTACTCGAGTTAGGTTTTCAGAGTATTTCTATACCATTGGAAAATGGGACTCCGTCATTGCTGCAGTAATTGTCTTTGTCCATCACTAGCGCCTCACTTTGGGCAGTTTTACAATTCCTTGGAACAAACAATCTTTCAATTAGGCGTGAAAGTGTATCATGATTGTGAAGTTGTTGTTTCCACGAGAAATGAATCTTTCTCTGATGTGGTCAGAGAGGAGGCAAGCGAGTATAAAATAACGAAATAGTAGATTGTCAGGTGGGGAAAATGATATTTCGGGGGTAGCATTCATTCCGTTGTAATGGTACCGTTGCATCTGTTCATAAGAAGTTTTTGACATCCATCTAGAAAACATTCAGTATGCTTCTGGGGCAAAGGTGGTGTAGTGGCAAATGGCATACTTCACACACGCACAGACACGGGTTCAAATCCCGGATCAATATCTGCCTAGGGCAACCAAGCCTTCCATCACTTCGGGTCGGTCTATTGGTGCCAGACTCGTCTGACCAGGAAAGGATACCAAGTCGCAGTGGCCATTTAAGATAAGATGTANTACATCTTATCTTAAATGGCCACTGCGACTTGGTATCCTTTCCTGGTGAGAGGATAAAAGCACTGACTTGTGCATCGGCTAGCCACCGCAAGTCATGTATAGGCCACATATGCATTCAGTACGCCACTACGATTCTGAATAGGAGTCGAATGTAAGGGCGCATCCCGCAGACGAGATTGATCAACGCCCTAGGACTTTAAGGCGGTCTCAATCATTACCACTCAGTGAGATGAAGTTGATGAGGTCTAATAAAAAACAAATATCGCTCATAGAACTTATCTCGCTTTTCAACAGATGCGTTGGAAGATTTTGAGATGATATCATAGTAATATGAGTAATATTAGGATGATCAAAAAGTTTTGATAGGGTGCTTGAAAGTTCCTAAACTCTCGATTATTAATACATACCAATGATGTACCATGTGGTAGTGGTAGAACATGCTAGAACTTTCTCCGTACTGAGTATATTGGCGCAGTACCGGAGCTCTGGCAACTATTTGCAACAACAACAGCGTGAGGGAGGAGGACACCACTTGCATCACTACGGTCTGTCGCTGGTTCGCTCGGTTCAAGGAAGGAGACAGGGCTCCGACGAAAAGCCTCGGTCGAGACGCCCCCTCTTCGTCGACGGCTCCGTCATTCTCGACGCCATCAAAGAGGATGGAAGTTAACACCAGCAGTCTTGCGGCGAGACTTGGATGTATCCAATCTACAGTTGTCGGATGCCTTCAGGCCCTCGGTTACCCGAGGGCTTGAAGGCGTCTGACACAAGAAAGGTGCTGACTCGATGGGTATCTCATGCCTTGTTCGATAGCATGCGGTACACCCGGGTATTCATTTGTCAGTTCCTCCTCCTCAGCCCACATCGCAAGGAGTTTCTAGAGGGCCTAGTAAATGGGAATGGAAGCTGGATCCTTTACGCTAATGAGAACTGCGCCGCCTGGCTCCCGTGAGAGGAACGGCCGCCGACGCAAGCGAAATCCGGCCTCCACACCAAGAAATTTCTACTTTGCTGCTTCTGGGATTCAAAAGAAGTGCTGTACTACGAATTGCTCGAGCAAGGCACACCGTCACCGCTCCTTATTACGCCGGTCAGCTGCAGAAAATTCGGAAGCCGTTCCGGCCGGCCGAGACGAACTTATGTGCACCTCCCCTGCTTTTAAATTCCAACTCCCTGTTCACGTTGGCAATGGGAGTGCTTGAACTTCTCACCGACCAGTCACTGCTCCGTTGGGATGACGAGGGGTAGCCATCTTGGTCTTGTAATTTGCGACGCTCCAAAGAGCTTTGCGAACGCTCTCCCCTGCCTCGGCGGCTCCGGCCAGAATTGTTCCTCTTCTTTCTATCAGGACTTCCGTTATCGCTTCTCTGCATGGCCTCGCATATTTGGACATTAGTTGATGGTTGCCTTCAGCTTGCGCAATTCCTTACTGGCATATCAGTTCGAGAGGCTTTGAAGTGAGTAGTCTCTTGGCTACCTGTACACTCGCTGCTTTCCTAGCAGTATCGTAAACATGTTCGACTGTTCGACGGAGAACGTCCGTTGCGCGCGTCCGTCGAAAGTAGGTCATCTCGCCCACACCGCGCGCGCACCACACTGAGGTCTCGAGATGAAATTACAGTATCACTAAGTGTCAGTGAAGCGAATGATTTGCTTGGTCATTATTACCTTCTCTTTAAATTGACTGCCGTGGACCAAGCGCAAAACGAATGCTTCACTGACAACTGCGACGACTGTCAAGTATCGCGGGCCGACTCGACGAGTGCGACGGCTGCGGCGTGACCTAGTTTCGACGGACGCGCGCAACGAAGCGCACCCCTGTTTGACTATTCTCGGGTGTGGTGCGACTCACGCGTCAATATAATGAGGTCATCGGACAAAATGCGCTAAAGCATCATGCCTATCATCATAACGAAGAAATAAGAACTTATAATGCACGTTTGTAGAAGGATTGCGTTTACTAGGACCAAAAAATTTGAAGGTATTCATATTTTGAACGCTTGGCAAGTAAATTGTTGACCTAGGAGGTGAATTTTCAATCTCGAAGGGGCTTCTTTGTCATAGTAAAGAGATTTGCTCTATTCATGGTGGAGCCGTGGACTACTGTAAATTTATTTGGTCCATCTCAACAGAAAAGTACTGAAACGATGCTGCGTGCGCGAAGAGCTCTAATGGGGTCACGCGTGAATCGCC